TCTTCTCTTCTTCTTCTCTCTCTCTCTCTCTCTCTCTCTCTCTCTCTCTCTCTCTCTCTTCTCTTTCTCTCCTTCTCTCTCTCTCTCTCTCTCTCTCTTTCTCTTTGTCCGTTCGTTTCGCGTTGCCCTTGCGCTACTTGGGGGGTATGGTGCAACGAGTCGGAGAACCAATACCCTTCGACGGGCAAGTATAGGCCTCGGCTAGCGACTGCACGCGCTCCTCCGCGGAAGAGCCGATCTCTCTTCAGAGAGAGAACGGAACGTTCTCCCTTCCCCCCTGATGCGGTGGAGACCACTGGACCCCCCCAAGACCGATTAAATCTCGCCCCGCCTCTCTCAGCTCGACTCCCGCCTCCGTCTCCCTCCCGCCTGCTCTTCCTCCACCAGTTTATGCTACGATCTCTTCAATTTCTTCCCTCCCGGTGTGTTTCTCGTCATCTGCTGCCTGCTCTTCCTCGTCAACGACATCATTCTCTTACTTCTCGCACGGCATTCGCTAATGATTCTTTTTCTCATTTCCGCTTCTTTTCAAATCTCTCTCTTTCAATTCACGCTTTCATCTTTCACTTTCCGCCTGTCGCGGAAGATGAAGAGATGTCCCTATATTTAAATCAATTCGAAGAATAGATTCCAAACATGACGTTTGGAAGATAGAGATGAAAAACAAATATTGATTTTTTTTTAATGTAAAATTATGAGATGTAAAATATTGTAAGATATAAAAGAGTGATTTCATCAAATTTAAGATTGTCAGTCACATCAATAAACAATCACGTGACTTATAAAAACACTATTATAGACTTTCCAAACTTAACATTTAAATAACAAATAATTTATAAGAACAATTTAATGTTGATGATTTCGAAAATATTTTTAATGGTAATATCTTTTCCTGATGAAATCACCACAACTTGGTGAAGAGCGTGCGCCTGTTTCGTCATCTCATAGTTTTATTCCTTTGGAAGCGGTGCCGGGCAGACGTGGAGAGCACGTGGTTCTCAAGGGGAGACAGGAGGCGGGCTGTGTTAAGGCTACGCCCGACAGAGCTCCCACTACGGATCCTCTGTGTTTCTTGCGCAAGGAGTCTTTGCCAAGGTTCCCCACTCTTCGTCTACTCCTCCGTTTTGTCTCCCTTCCATCCTCTTTGTCGATCGCGCTCACCCGGTCCCACTACTCTTTTTTCTTCTCCTTTTTTCATTCAGCTCTTCCCTCACTACGACCCGGAGTGGCCTTCTCCTTTCTCATCTGCCGCGCGTCGTCGGTCACCTCTCTTTCGTCGGGAATGCGTGAATCGAAAGGCGGAGGTGTGCACGCGCGCGTATGTGTGGGAACGCATCGCGGAATGCAGGACAGCGTAGCTATGGAACTACTAGCGGGGCTTTTTCCCCTCCACCTTGAATTCTGGAGGATTCTACGTAATGTCGTCCACGTTGAGAATTTTTTCATTGTTTAGTTACAGGACACTCTTGCCGCAGTTTAAGCGTGTCTTTGTTCGAGATGCAGCATATCGATATCGATTATTCAAGAATTTATAAGCTAAGCTTATACTTGTAAGCAGTCTTTTTGTTTAAATCTGAAGACAACAAAAAATTTCTAATTTCATTTTCATCTTCAATTTCAAAGTGTTTTACTTTATCAAAGATATCTTTTCTATACAAAATAATTTCAAAAACAATTTAAAAAAAATTGCAATATTTTTATCTCTTATCCAAAAGTGTGAGCAAATTGCATAATTTATTGTTAAAATTCTTTTCAAAGGTATTTTATTTTATCAAAGATATTTTTTCTATACAAAACAATTTCAAAAAATTGTTTTGTATAGAAAAGACATCTTTGATAAAGTAAAGTACTTTTGGGTAATAGATAAAAATATTACAATTGTTAAAATTAAATATCAATAAGTATAAATAACTTATTGCATTTTAACTTATTGCATAATGTAACCTAACATACTGGAATTCTTCACTAAAATTATCGTTATTATTGTTACTATATAAATATTGACAGAATACAGTGTTAAACGCGATTAAACATTTGTCAACCTGGGTGAACAAATTTATTTATCTTCGTGCGATAACTCGAAGGGAAAAAGAGAATGATCTGCACCGGCTGTATCGTTTTCGCACTTACTAACGATAAGAATAAAAGCGAGGAAGAAAGCGCAGCGAATGCATTCTCTCCCGTAATGATAGACGTGGCGAAAACCACCGGCAATATGTATGTCTGCTTTTTACCAAACAACATATAATTTGGTAGTAGCTTAAGAGGCGGGATCAGTAGTGAGACAACAAGTAACGAGGTCAGAAGCGAGATTGATGAAGCTGAAATAACGCGCACGCTGATGCAACTAATTTCGTACAGTAATTTCAGTTTTTTTTTTTTTATTGAAGCCATATGTTTAATGAGCTGTCAGTTGACAATAAAGAGATACCTGGATATTTACCAGAATCTTATCATCAGTCAATTTGAATCAGTTACGCAGAGAATATGTTGACGTGATTTCGGTTTTATCTTTTTTTTTTGTAAGAAAAAACGAAAATTTTGCGTTTAGAAGAAATTGCAATATAGAAGAATATTCTCCAAATCAATTTGGTCCTAAAGTTATCTATATCTAAATTTACTAAATGTGAAATATACAGTTGTATATTTCATTGTATATTGTTGTTGTTTTTGAAAAAATAAAGTTCATGAAGAATATGTAAAAATGATAAAATTATTCAAAAAAGAAGAAATTAAAGGAAATAATATATTATATAATTTATGTATTATATAATTTGTTTGTATTTATTATATGGAGCGGTAATTTTCTCGTCCGCTCTAAAGACGGCTTTCGTGTCGTTTAAAGATAGTCAATGCTAATCCGTTTCTCTATGTTTCCGCGGTAACGAGGAAAGGAGCGCCATTATTTGCCGAGGAGCGAAGGCGAGGCGGTTTATCGTTAGCCAGCAAAATCTGAGGCAATTACGCGTGGAATGTTCAGGTGTATCGTCGAGAAGATGCGATTGCATGTTTCGCCAGAAGCTCAAAGTTCACGACTGCATGTCTTTTTCTTATTATTCAATGATTGCTGAGACGTACTTCAAGATTCTCGTATTTAGTTGAAATATAATCCGCACACGTATATGGTGATGTGGTAATTTGTTATCTCTGATAACGGATATTCGTTGGCGATTCACTCGTCTTCCTCGTGTCAGGCGCGAAGCGGAATGCATTCGCTTTAATCGAGAAACTCATAATCGTTATAAGAAGAATCGCCTAAAGAGTCGGATCTAATCCTAATCTCGCCGCGGACAATTCGCAAGATCATGTTGTTGCCTGACGTCTGTCCGCGTCGTGTATTTCCTTCACGCCTCCGCGCGCGAGCGTAAGCAGAAATAATCGTTCCCGCCCGTAAGTCACGGACGAGTGAGTCGTTACTATGTATGATCGCCGAGAGCGAGGACGTGGACTCGCGTGATGGACAGCCTGTCTGTACCGTACTTAAGCCGACGCTTATGATAATTACTTAATGCCGCTCTCTAAGAGTTGCACGCACGTATAAATGCGCGCGAATGCGCCGCGCGGCTTCTACGAATCCACGGCCGATACGCCGCCACTTTTCACTACGGCGACTAAACGAAACGTCCGGATAAACGCGGCGCCTCTCGTCTGGTATTAATGTTACATTCGTGTACACATTTATTGTGTAGAGATCACGTCCTACGCTCGTGGCATTTTATTTAAAATAAAACAGCTCGTTACGTTATATAAAAATAAATTTATTTAAGACTTTGCGCGATTTGCAGCACTTTTTCTCATTTTTATTTCTTTTTTAATTTCTTTTGTCTTTACAAAAAAAAGTCATTCCCGCAATGATATATTCAAAGAGAATAATTATTACGTAACAACAATGTTTTTGTATCTTTTTTTTACTTAGCACGTGATGAAGCGCTGTTTGGAGATAAATGTGAGGACCATTTTGCCATTATATAAACAGATGCAGCACATGGCTTTTAATATAGATAACCCTGCAAATGTGATCAAGCGATAAATCTTTGAATTATTACTCCTTCGTGCATCTGGACTAAGCGGTAGAATCGCGATACCAATTTAAAACCAGCAGCTTTATGTAATGATACGAAAAATGATACAAAAAATATGGATGCTTTATGAATGTTTTACATATACATTATTATTTTATAATTTAACTTTAAGCGATGTTCCAATTATATGGATGTTGATATATTTATTATGTTGTTATAATAATTAAATATAATTGATACATAATAATAAATATAATTTACATTTATAAAATAACGTTAGTCTTCAAAATAGCTTTTTACATATATCCAAGATATATTTAATTCAGATTAAAAGTATATGTTTAATATTTGAGTTATATAGGATAGATAAAACTTTACTCCCTATTGTGGATAAAGTCATTGTGAAGATCTTTTTATTTGGAGATCTGTGTTGGGCGAAAATGTGTGTCGCGAGAAAACAACGTTGAGAACTCTCCTGTGATTTAACGGAGGTATAAAAAGGAAGATACAGAAGCGATAGTTTCTTTTCCATAAAGGTCCAAGGTGATGAGATCCACGCGGCTGTTGTGAAATACTAATGGCGGTACCGAGCATTTTCCTCTCTGCGAGAGCGAGGATCTTTCTTTTTCTCATCTCTTCACCCGCCCCTTTCCATTCCCTTTTCACAGACTGTCGACGGTTACATACGTCTCGGACAGCGTAACTAATTTTATGGGAGACCCGTTATGGGCCACCATGATCACATCGAAATTTCCGTGACATCCGTCGATAATGACGACCAAAACCTCGACGAGGGCTGCGATTTC